CACTGTTGAGACCTTTTTGTAATGCCCAAATGAAATTAACAATTCTAGTCCTTTTCAGTTTTCCACTTATTACCAGTATATTTTCCTATCAGCAGTTTATTCCAAAAGTTTGTGCTTAAACTAAATACATGGGAGCAAAACTAAAGTCCAATGCTGATATTTTAATAGTTCTAAAAATCCTGATTTTGTGCTTTAAAATTTAAACAATATATCAATCGCATCCTAATAAGAGTGTATGACAAAAAGTCTTAAGTTTTCTATCTGGATTCCATAAACATGGAGAAATCATCAAAAATATTGAAAGGGAGTATGAAATTAAGTGAAAATGTTAACCCCACTCAAAAATAAGAGCAGGAGCGCCTGGGAGGCTAAGTTGGTTAAGCGTCAGACTCTTGATTTCAGCTCAGGTCATGATTTCAGGGCTGTGAGATTGAGCCCTGGGTCAACTCCCTGCTAGGTGTGGAGCCTGCTTAAGATTCTCTTTCTCCCTCTCCTTTTCCCCTCCCCGGCTCATGCTCACTTATGTGTATTCTCTCTGTCAAAACAAAATAAAAACAAACAAAAACAAAAATAAGCAAACATAAAAAAAACTATGTGGCTATAATTACTTATAAAAAAGAAAGAATTATTCACTTCTTAGTTTCTTTTTCTGGCATAGTAATCTTTCAAGAAATTAAATTTTTCTGTGTATTAGACAGCTAAAATCATGTTAAATGCCTTCTGTGGTTGAAACCTCATTTAATTCTAAGGTTTTATTTTTCAGTAATCTCTATACCCAATGTGGGGCTTGAACTTACAACCCTGAGATCAAGAGCTGCATGCTCTACTGACTGAGCCCGCCAGGTACCCCCTAAACCTCACTGAATTCTATTCTTTGGTGCTGGTCAAATCTGCTTGGTTAAAAGTAACAAAAATCAGGGTGCCTGGGTGGCTCAGTCGGTTAAGTGTCCGACTCTTGGTCAGCTCAGGTCATGTTCTCATGGACTCTGAGATAGAGCCCTGTGTCCCTGCTTGGGAATGTCTCTCTCTCCCTTTCTCTCTGCCCCTACCCCATTCACGTTGTGTCTCAAAATAAACAAAAATAATAATAAAAAACAGTAACAGTCAAAATTAAGTCTTTTGATATTGGCTCCTATTGGCATATGTTTTTGGCATTTGGTAGTCTTATGTCCTTGGTGTGAAATATAAAAATCCTTTTCTGGAATAACTAAAAAATACCAGAGAATTATTTCATCTATAAGAAGATGGTTGTCCCACAAATCAACAGTATCAGCTACAGATGACTTTTAATGACATAATTTTCTTATAACTGAAAACATTCACATTGTAAAGGAAGTTTATCAGCAACAAAATTATTTCCCTGACCAAGAAACACTATCTTGATTAACCTGTCTATGTAGGTTTTACACCACAAATAATCTTGATAGCATTGTAGGCTGAGAGCTGGGCTGTCTGTATCACATCTATATAGATATCAACTTTTATTCTTCCACTCTAAGTGTATTCTGGCTTACCTCAAATATTCCAGCTACTTCAACAGCACTCCCAAACTAATCATTAAAAAAATAGGAAACATCTATAGGCTCCAGGAAAAAGAAAAAAACTTGCCAACCCTTGTTACCTGCACTAGGAAGCTAATTTATGTTCCAATTCAAAAAACTGGCAAGGTACGGCCTGTCGGCTAAATCTGGTCCTGGTTTCTTAAATATTAAGGAGCTCTCTTTTTGTAAATGAAGTTTTATTGGAACACAGCCACACCCATTTGTTTTCATAATGTCTATGGCTGCTTTCATGTTAGAATGTTAGAGTTAAGTAAATTTTACTATCTGGCCTTTTACAGAAAAAGTATGCTGATCCCTCTTCTAAATGGAGCAGAGAAAGCAATATCATAATTAAAATCTGCAATTAGGTTGGTGGTCTGACTCTTGGTTTGGGCTCAGGTCATGATCTTGCAGTTGTGAGATAGAGCCCTGTGTCAGGCTCTGCACTGGGTGTGCAGCCTGCTTGGGATTCTCTCTCTCCCTCTCCCTCTGCCCCTTCCCTGCTTGTGTGTCTGCATGTGTGTGTGCTCTCACCCTGTCTCAAAATAAATAAAAGAAGCTTAAAAAATAATATATATGTGTAAAAAAAATATATATATATACATATACATATGTATATATATACATATATGTGTGTGTGTGTGTGTGTGTATATATATATATATATATATATATAAAACCCCTGCAATTAGGATAGTGACCTACAGTACATGCCCATGAGAACAAAAATCCATTACAACAAAAATTTTATTTGAACGTTCTATGGAATTCCTGAATTGATATTTGTTTATTAAAATAATTCTACTCCCTGCAGAAAATAAATGGAATAATGAAAACTACATATTTTAGAGAGAAGTTGACCTCACAAATTCTACAAGGTGATATAAAATTGCTGATAAACTGGTGTTTCTGTGGTTACTTCATAATTTTGGTCAAGTAGCCTCCATTTGTGGAAGCCTATAGAACAAATACTAATTTATGTTAATGTAGAGGATAATACATAAACTACCACCAAGTTAAACAAGACAAAAAAGGAAAAGTGATCCTAGAATGTAAAATTGTGTTATTTCTTAGTCAGGATCAATTAGAATTCACAGGGGCAAGAGGGAATAATAAAAGCAGGAGATTAATTCTTGAAAATGGCTGGCAATAGTTAAAATAATATGTCTCCCCAAATCACATACTATCCAATAATATGAAAAGAGTTGATTTCACATAGGTGGGTACTGGGCATGTAAGCAAGGTGCTCCTGCCACTCCTGATGTCTTCAGACATGGACAAGAGCCAGAATAAGAATATTCCTCAACTGTATGCCTAAGGCTTGGCTGGGAGAGTCACTGCTGACTGTGAACTTCATTTCATTCTACCCTTTGATGTTTTTGCTGAAGTTGAGAACTGAGGACATATAGCTAAACTGTTCATCTCAGAAGGATAGGAGATGAATAGTGACTCACCTGACAGTCTCAGACTTTTTTGTCAGTTAATAACTTTATATTTTGAGGGTAAGCCTGTCAGAAACATCTGTAGATCCACCTCCACTAGGTGACTGTCTGGACGGGGCAGACACAGCAGATGACATGTGGCAGCTGTTCACCAGCTATGGGTCCTCTAAGGTGCAGTAAGAACTGAAGAGAGGATGTGGGTAGTCACGCTGAGTGGCAGCATGGCCTTAGTTGCTGCAGTGCTGAGGCTGCTACTCAGACTAAGTCAGACTCACGTCACAGTGATAAGACTTTTTTCTAGACTAGTCTTTTTTTTTTTTTTTTTTTTTTTTTTTTTTTTTGATGCTGTGAAGTAGGCAGCATATTCCTAGAGGATATAATGGGAGCTACTTATTAATTAAAAGCTTCAGGGCAATATCTAATTTAACAATTTTTCCCTCCACAAGTCCTTTTAAAATGCACTAGATTTCTACATGGCTTTTTAAGACTGGATTTTGAAAAATCTGTTTTCTAACTCATATCCAAAGTTGGTAAAAAAAACTTCCCAAATACAGAAGTTCCATTTTTTACAAACCCTATATTTAATTGGTGGGAGCCAGAGATATACCAGAGATTTATCTATAGCAGATAAAGTGGACTAGGGGCAGTGAGCTATTAATAGTGAAGAATTAAAAAATGATTATGAGGGAGGAATAACTACAAGTGGTGCAAATGAGACAAACTTTGGATTCAAATATATTGATTTTTAAGTCATTCTTCTAAAAAAAGTTATTTCAACAAAAACAATAATTATTAATTTGACATTCTACATTTATGTGGGCAACAAATGCTACCCTATACACAATATTATTTTAATTATTATTACTAACAAGGCTAATACTCCCTTATATGTCTATGATTTTTGTAATTTTCAATGTTTTCACATTTTATTAGCTTACCAACAGCATCAAAAACTATTTTAGAAGGAGCCTGAATTTCAAATTTTCTGACATTAAAAAAATAAACAACAACCACCCAAAACTGGTCGTTAAGATATATAAGCATCTAATGTCACCTATGTTGCTAAGAACATTGTACTCAGGAAACTAGAAAGCTGTGTTTGATGTTTACTTCAGCTGCTCCAAAATGAATATAAATGGTTGTCTGACATGTGAATGTGAAAATCTGGAACCAATCCTATTTTATAGAACACAAGCCTTCAGCATTTGGGGCACCTAATTATTTTGATGATAGGTGAATTTTACCCTTGATCACATGGCTTATAGCTAGAAAGTGGTTTCACAGGAGAATATTTCACAGCATGTAATAAATCCTAAAAACAATGCTATAAACACTCAAACACATGGCATCAGTTAAATTGCAGGTTCAAAAAGAACTTCATTCCTTTAAAAGACAATTTGGATAAAAAATAATGTAAGACATTCAACACAGAATTTTTGATGTGCTGGAAAATTTTACTTTTTTCTCTCTAAAGTATTACTATGTTTTTAAAAACATGGATTGAATTATTTTATTCTCTTCAGGAATTAATTGAATATTGTTTCCTTTCATTGTCACTCAAATTACAGCTATTCTTAAAACTACCCCACTTTTTCTTTATTTGGGAATAAAGCTTCAATTTGGTCTGGTACAAATAATTTCACATTCCTTCTGGTTTTGAGGGCTGGTTCCAAATTATAATCAACAACTTTTCTAGACCAGAACCCTTGAAATTCAGTCTTGCTTTATAGTTTTTGCTCTTTAGACTTCCTACATACTGTTTCAAGGCAAAAACTGGTCTGCCACACATCTGGGGAAAAAAAATCTAAGTTTAAGCTAAAATGATCTTGCAGAAGATTTTAGCTTTTTGCATACAATTGTAGCAGGACTTTAAGGGCCAATGTGCAACGAATGACCCGGACCAAGACAGAGTAAGTCTGTTTGAAAAAGAAGAATCCTCTCCTCCAAAGATTTCATGAAAAACATTTAGGACACTAGGCTTTAACCATTATTACAAAAAAGATGAGCACTATTTTACCATTGAAGCAGATCGACTGCTTGTAACAAGGCTTGATCCACCATAGTTTGAATTGAGGCTTCCAATTGGTGCATTATGGGATGGTCCCAATAAACTGTGTATATCATTGTGACCAGCAGGCAAACTGGTGGACGGTCCAACGGCATGGTTCCGCAGCACATGGATAGCATCATCCAGTCTGTCTAAACGATCCTCCATTCGAGATTGCTGTAGGGATTGAAAAAAGACATGGAGGTTACTGCTGGTATCTGTTAAATTCATTAAACTGCTATGTTTCCTACTTTGGGATATAGAGAAGACAGCAAAGTAAAATGCACTATCAAGTAGCTTCAAAAGCAACTACCTACACTACAATCAAGAATCAAAGAAAAGATATTTGACGACTATGCAAAATTAACAAAGCTTCAGAAACAAATCACTGCTTTATAAAACCAATTTACCAGTCTACCATGAGGCTATTTCTTTTAGCTTCCTACAAAAGACGAAGGCTACTCTACTGTGTCTGATAATTATAGCTGATAAAAAAGATAACCTGGACTTTAATACTGATCTTTGAAATGAGGGCAATTTTGGGAAAGGACCTCAAATCCATCAAGTTTAAGTTGTAATTTTGTTTTAAGTGAATAAAGCATACCTATCTGAAATGGTGAACACATCCAAATATGCTCTTTCACAAAACTGAGGAAATGAGATTGTCTGTGGATACACACATGCCCCATACACAAACATATTAGAATTTAAAAAATCAAAAGCACATGCCAGTAGAGCTCTTTTAAAAAGAATCATTCTCAACAACATGAAAAACAAAAGTCTATTCTTACATACTGTACAAAAACGAAACTGGTCATTGTTTGATTTTAAAAGACTTTGGAGTCTGTACAGGCTTGAAGATTTTAAATGGATAATAGGAAGTATAATTAACTGAAACACAAAAAAGGCACCATCTAAAAGAAATAGTACCTCACAGACATCCTTTAAGAAGGACATTGCATCTTGCAAATGCTCGTGAAGTTGCTGCTCAACTCGATTTTTCTGGCAAAGTCAAGACAGAACAGGAGGCAAAGCACAGGTTAAGATTAACTCCAAAAGAGATGAGGAAATAGCTGATGTCGCATGTCAGCATAACATGTTAGTAAAGTTAACGCAGAGACCTGCGAGATCTACTTGTATTAAGGTATGAGAAGGCTGGGATTTAACAGCGAAGTTATAAGGTTAGCATCTAAATAGCACACATTGTTTATATTTGCTTGCAAAATATGAAAGAAGAAGACTTTCCCTTCAACTGTTCTGTTAGTCACAGAAAAAGAACTCTTCTATTTGCAACATGAAATTACTAAGTGACAGCATGACTTAGCATTCCATCAAGTTATTCTATTTTGTTTGTATAATACTATGTAATTCTGTGGTAGGTATTGAAAAACAACAGTAGCTAACATTCTACCACAAATTCTTCGCATTCTATACCTAGACAGGCTCTTTTATTCTACCTCCTTATTTGTTTATTAAGTAACATTTTTGCTTATACAATTAACACAATATATTTTTAAAAATGAAAACATGGGAAATAACACTTTTCATGACAAAAATAATTGATGCTACATTTAAAAATTTTAGTCAAAATGTTATTAACTATATACAGAATAGTCACATGAGAAAGAATAAAATGTGACCATGCTGCATTGCTCGGCTAGTTTTCTTGCTTTTATTTGATCTCTTTACTTTTTTGTTTGTTCCTTCTTCTATATAAACATAAAAGTATAGAAAAGTTAAACTCTAGATTTATCAAAAAAGCAAAAATCCCATAACACTATTTTACTACCAGCTGTCCTGAGATCAGAAAGAAGCCTGATGTCCCAAAGAACAGATGGCAAAAGGCACACCCAATGTGTCTTATATTGTTAAACTAAATCAGGCCATTTGTTAGCAAAGAATTCGTGTGTAATGCTATCCTACTGTTTTTTCATTGTTACTCAGGATTTACTAAAAATGCACTCTGCACTATCAGATAAAAGTGACCCGTATATTTTTAAGAGGCTCTTACCAGGGAGTGGAGCGAGTTTTCATAGCTGGGGGATGAAGGAGCTTGCCCTCCAGGTCTGGGCCACTGACTGGTACCTGTTAAAACAAAATACAAAAGCATACACACACACCTTGGTTAACTCACTGATCTTGACAATGTTCTGAAAGAAAGGGTAAAGCCATTCTATAGCTGTACATAAACTTATGCAAACATTTTTGTTCAGCCTTCAGCATAGTATTGGCTACTTACAAGCCCAACACATAAAAAAAATCTTTCTCAGGGCACTTGGCTGGCTCAGTCAGTGGAGCATGCGATTCTTGATCCCAGGGTTGTGAGTCTGAGCCCCATGTTGGGTGTAGAGATTACTTAAAAATCTTAAAGTCTTTTTCATTACTAATACAACTGTGTAGGGAGTTGGGAATAAAAGAAAAAACTGCACAGTACTTTACAAAGTAACTACTTTGCAAAAATTTGTATTAGTTATTATTAACTACTTGTTATTTTGCAACAACAAAAAAAGCCAGAAACAGGACCATAAATACAGAGAACTGGTAGTTGCCAGAGGGGCAGGAAGGAGGAGAGGAGATACAAGCTTCCAGTTACAGAATAAGTAAGTCATGGGGATGAAAGGCACAGTATAGGGTATATAATCAATGATATTGTAATAGTGCAGTATAGTGACAGATGGTAGCTACACTTGTGGTGAGCTTAGCACAATGTATAGAGCTGTCAAATCACTATGCTGTACACCTGAAATGAATGTAACATCCTGTGTTCATTATACTTCAAAAAACAAAAACTACTTTCATGTTTGAATGTTCTTCAGATTTTGTCCACAAGCAGATTATCTTGAGAAAATGTACTTAAAACATACGTAATTTAAAATTCTGTTCCTTCTCTATGACTTTCCATAGCTTTTGTTATTAAAATTTTTTTTTTTAACGTTTATTTATTTTTTTTTTTGGGACAGAGAGAGACAGAGCATGAACGGGGGAGGGGCAGAGAGAGAGGGAGACACAGAATCAGAAACAGGCTCCAGGCTCCGAGCCATCAGCCCAGAGCCCGACGCGGGGCTCGAACTCACGGACCGCGAGATCGTGACCTGGCTGAAGTCGGACGCTTAACCGACTGCGCCACCCAGGCGCCCCTAGCTTTTGTTATTAAATGACTACGTTAATATTCACTTGATTTTCTAGATCATAATTTATATAAATACCATTATTACCTCACTGTTGGAGGTTTCTTTCAGTTGGCTATTACGAATAGTACCTAAATATTACTATATTGTGAATGGTAAACATTGTTATTTTCTTTTTTGGGAACATGTCTTGAGGATAAATAGCATTTCTGAATTAAAAGGTATAAATATATTTATGATACTCAATTCATAAAGCCAAATTACTTTCTAAAGTGTCCTATTAACTTCTGCCATTAAGTTACGCACAAATGCACCAATTTCAAACGACTGCAAATGCATTTAGGATTATCTGTTAAACATTTTCCCAACATAATTTACACAAAAACACATTATTTAATTTGGAAAATATCACCATGAAAATTTTTAATGTCATTTATTCTTCAACTTTAGAAAAGTAGCACTAACACACAGCAAAAAAACATACAAGTTCAGAGTAGAAAAAAATAAAAAGTAAGAAAACAATAAAAAAAAGACAAAAGGATTAATTCATTCATGTGTTTAAGACAATTACAGCCTGTGCAGTTGGAAATAATTTATTTACAGAAAATAATGAGAACCATTATAGTTATTAACATTATAGTTATTAATAAATGCTTCAGTGACAACCTGAGTTATAGGAGAAATATGAAGTTGGAGAACTTGCAGGTTTACTTAATTTGTCTGATTTACTGCTAAATGAAGTTTTAACCTATGTTCTTTGTACCAAGCATGTTGTTGCAGATTATTTGCGAAATTTAGGAAACAATGAAAATGTATGGTAAATCTTAACTATTATAGTTCACTTCAGTTGAATAAATTAGTAATTGTATTCCCATCAAATATATTTTACAAGTTGAAAAGTTGGATAAAGTTTTAACCTGATTAAATTTCACAATTATATGCATACTGTTGTGATTACATAGGAAAATTTTAAATAGTAAAACTGTGAGAAAAAAATATATATTATGTACTTCATCAGCAAACAATTTTTTTTTACTTGTAGGCAAATTACAAATTATTCTGAGAACCATTAAAGGTTTCCTGCTGGACATACAAACACAGTCATAATTCAACTACATGAATTATGGACAATCTAAAATTGAGCATTGAAACAGAAGTTTGCGAACTTAAAATTAACAAGTAGATTTTAGTAACCAGAGAAACCCAGTAACTGACTATATGAAGAACTCATATAAATAACCAGCCAACACCTTTCCACTGATTTCAGTACATTAGTGCTTTCCAAGCACTGATGCAGAATTATGAATTTTATGTGGATAAAAGGTTAATCCTAATCCATTTTGAAAAAGACCCTAAATTACTTTTAATGTAATTTCTTTTAATGTTTACAATATTTTATTTTCCAACATTTTCCTCCAACCTTCCCATTCCTCTTTGGGTGATCAGCCTGTAACAGGACTCTAATCATCAAATTATTTAATCTACATCAGATATTAATACAAGTTTTATGTTTAAACACCTCAGAATTGTTAACATGCATCTGCTTGGCAAAACATGCGATTTTTGTGGTTCTCCAACTAGTTTAGGGTTGAGGAATGAGATATGTGCACTGAGTTACTCAGGTAAGAAATCACCTATATTCATTATTTTATTGATAGTGATATGAAGAAACCATTCTAAGGTCTATATCCAAAATGTAATCCATTAAACTGGAAAAATACACATATACTCAAACCGGTTTTGTTTTTATTATAGACTGGGCTGCTCCAGTGTGACATACTTGGTTAAAACAGAATACTAATGTGCTTAAATTAGGGATATCTGTTTGAACTTTATAGACATGCCAAGTTATATCTCATGGACAGAGCTCCTTGAACCCCAGTTAGTAGTTTAAAACATTATGCTATTAGTCATAAAGAAGATGACTGGATAGTTAGATAGAGTTATTAGTTCAGTAGAAATCAATCCTATTGCTGATGTTGGCATCTCTATCTCTAGCTTGTAACATTACACAAATATTGTAGAGAATAGAGAACAGGGTATCTCCCACCTTCCTTCCCTGTCACCTCGTATTTGGTGTAGACCTATCAAGAGGCTTGGGGCTTATTCTTCCTTCTATTAATGAGCATAAGGTTTCAACTGTTTATGCAGTTACCAATTTCTGTAATTGCCTGGGCTTTTTAGTGATCACCCTAAAAAGCTAGTTCTTATTCAAGAAGGATTGTAATAAACCTACCAGCTATTAAAATATAATTATAATGACCGTTTCTAGAAAACAAGCTAGCTAGGTAATTAGGAGAAGTGAGTTTTTGGCTAGAAAATGTGGAAAGGCTTTCTTTGATCACTAAATCCAAAATTCACCCAGTGTTTCTGATCTGCTCACTAAGTGGAACTTAGAATTAACTGGTTAATTAATTTAGAGACTAGATACCAACATTTTATACGGCTGAAAGAAATTCTTAGGACCACTTATCATGCATTTTCTTATTTTGTTAGTTGTTTCCCTTTGTAATCTCACCTTAAACTGAAACTTTCATGAGATCCCTCATACTTGGAAAAGGCTGGATAATCAATGTAGTACTCAGTGCTTTGCTTTCCACAATCTGGCTCCAGCCAACCTTTCCATTTTAGTGCTTCACACTTCCATACGTGAAGAGTTCATAATCAGTCATCCCCATGACTCTGGATGAAGAAGTCATGTGCTTTTTTTTTGCATCTGGATCTTTGTTATACTCTTCCCTTTAGACCCAGGAAAACTCTTTCTCCTCCTCTTAAAGTCCTGCTCTCTTCATGAAGTTTATCGTGACCGTTCTATAGCTTAGAGTGAATTCTGATGGTTGTATTTTCATGTATTTATCTTTTTAAAAAAAATGTTTATTTGTTTACCGAGAGAAAGAGAGAGCAAGAGGGGGAGGGGGAGAGAGAGAAGGAAGAAGGGAAAGAGAGGGAGAGAGAGACAGGCAGAGAGTGAATCCCAAGCAGGCTTCGTGCTGCCAGCCCAGAGCCCAACACAGGGCTTGATCTCACAATTGTGAGATCACGACCTGAGCTGATTACCAAGAGTCAGATGCTTAACCAACTGAACCACCCCAGCACCCCATGTGTTTACCTTTTATTTTCTCAGCTAAACTGAAAACCTGCTGAAGTCAGATGATTATCAAACACCAGGCACACTGACAGATGATTAAAGTAAATAAATAACTGATTAGCCAAAACTAAGGAATCCTTTCTTCTTTCTCTTCCTCCATTTCTGTTGTAAATGTTTTGAAGATTGCTACTGAGAACTGAAATTATTAAACCCTTATTTATTTATATTCCAGAAGGAGGTGAAGAAAGGAAAAACATGGTTTTGTCTGTCTGCTCTCCAAGTTCCCCCAGTAAACACATTCTCTTAAATACTTGTGTCCTTTGCTAAATGACGATTGTGATAGACATAGCCATTCTTCTCTTCTACCTTGCTGCCAGAGCCCTGATTTTGTTCAAAAGGGGGTGGGCTATCTATCATTTCCTGGCATGAACCAGAAAAGAGTAACTTTAGAGTTCTCAGGGTAAATCCTGATGTCTAAGATACACATGGTGGTCCCATTTCTGTTATGACCAGTGTGTTAGTGCCCAGTGCTGGCTGAAGACTCATGAAGGCCAATCTGTTGAAGAGCCTTCTGAAAAATATTCTTAAAATACAAAGAAAAGATGGTCTCTTTTCTTCTAGTGAACACTGTTATGTCCACATATGGTACCTTGAACTGCTGAACTTGCCAGCAGCCTGAGGAAGAACTGCAAAAGTAGTAGAGCAGGAGCTTGGCCATACTGGGGCCAAGAAATTTGCCCTGCTATGGCTTCCTGTCATGAAGATAAGCATCCCCTTATTATTTAAGCCAGCCAAGACAAGAGTTTCTCTTCCTTTCAGCCTAAAGCATCCCAACTGATATAACAGCACTACCTCAGAAGTTCCTCACAAGCATGCTCTAGGTAGAAATATACGTTCTTGGCCTGAAAAAGTTCCTAAGGAAAATGAGTGGAATTTAAACAAGAATGATGATTACCTTAGAAGCTGCCTATGTGGCTCTTCACCTGTGTATCCATCCTCACAAGGCCTATGCCAGTCTGACTGATGCTCAGGTATACAGAACAGGACAAGTGTAGAGAGCACACAGTGGGTGGATTTTTTACTCTAGTTAACAGGCCACTGCCATTCAAGGTACAAAATAAATTCCACATATTGTGTAGAAGCTCTAGTTTGCTCCCTCTTTTTCATTCTTCCTTCAACTATGAATAATTTATCACGTTGTGCTTTCGTTTTTCCTTCTCTCTTTATATTTCTGCCAATTTGGAGTGTGTGTGTTATGTGTGTGGTGACAGGAAGGAGACACTAGATACAGGAGATGGGAGAGAAATGCACTTGCATAAAATCAGTCTTTGATGTGCTGTTTCAGTAGGAACATAATAAGCATTAAATGAAAGAAAATATTTTTCTTCGATTATGACTGCTGAATTGAAAAAGAAGCCTATTAATATCTTCATTACACACTTCAGTAGATCATAGATTTTCATTAATCAGCTGAATTAAAGGGGAAAAAAGGATATCACCCAATAAACACCAAATCAAGATGGAGAAGGAAATGTAAGGTTTTACTCTGGACCATTTTTTTTTGAAAAATGTCAAAGTCTCTGATTTTCCATTTTAGTGATGCCCCCTCATAAATACTGAACTCCTCTGCTGCCTGACTTCCCACCCAGTATTAATAAAAAAAA